ATATACTGTAAATATAAAAATATAATATAGTCTAATTTAAATTAAATAAAAATAAATTTGTTACCAGAACATGATTTCAAGAAATTCTTTTTGATAAGCAATAACATCATCTCTTTCATGATCATCAATATACATTCCTTTTGTATATTGACTAAAAACAAATCCCATTTTCTTTAACTATCAAATTGCTGTAGATTTACTATAAAATGTAAAGATTTTTAGTAATATATTTATAAAATAAAGTAATCCATAAATACAAATATTATAAAATAAATACCTGATTTTAGTTTTTTCTTCTATGCTAACAGAAAGCAAAATTTCATTAGAAATATAATCACGAAAGTTATGAACAGTTGTATTAAATTTGTGTTATTATAAATATGATGTTACTTTTAATTGAACATCCTTATCATCAAGAACACTGCTTCTCCTAAGATGTTTTCCATGATTATTTTTGGGAACGTCACTATATTCAATAAATACTTTAGCCTAACTTCTAACACAATGAGCAAACCATATTCCTCGATTTAGAAGATCTACAATAGTTTGATTTACTTTTAATTTTGCATGTCTTTTATTAAGGAGTTGTAAATAATGTTAGACAGCTTTAAGTCGCAGCTTATATCCTGGAATTAAATATTCATTCTCGAGTTTTAGTTTATCTTCAATTATATTAATTAATGCATTAAATTGTACATTTTTTATGATTTTATCATCATTGGAATTATCATTGGAACTATCATTATTGGAACCATCACTATTGGAACTATCTCTACCAAAAAAACTACTATTGGAACCATTTCTACCATCAAAAGAACCACCACTAAAATTACCACCAAAAGAACCACTACCAAAATTAACACCAGAATCATCACCACTAGAAGAACTATCACCAAAATTACTACCAGAAGAACCACCAGTATTGTGATTATTTAATAGTTGATAAAGAGTTTGTCTATTTTTTTTCGATTTTTCAATGCTTTAACTTTTTGTCGATATTTTGTCATTCGTGAGTTTCCTACATTTACTAATTGACGTTTCGAAAGTTTTAGTTCTTTCATATTTTTAGTTAAAACTAAAAAAAGTTGCTTTGCCTTATCCTTATCAACCCATCCAACTTCATCATTCGTGTTAACCTCATTATCTAAGTTTAAAATATCATTTGAATCATTTGAATCGGTGTCATCATGATTTTTTGCAATTTAAATTTTCTTTTTTTTGCAATCTCTCAGCATTGTTAGATTCATCGTTTTGGGTACCCTATTGGTAAAAAAAAAATCAGTTGATCAATATATGCATACAGTTTAAACTATTTATATAAGTGATCTACATTATAAATTTAGGCATAATTCCGGCCGGAGTTATATATTTCAAATCCATTTCTACTTAAGAAAGTATTCAAACTTTGCCGATTAATAACTTTTGATCTAAATATCTAATTAAAGTAATTCTAACATTATTTTATAGCAACAGTCAATGTCTATCGAACTACGTTAAAATATTTTAAACATACATTAGAAAATTTTTTATTTCATTTTTAAGTTTGATAAATTTATTGGATGGCTTTTTGTGACACAAACCATATGATATTTTTTTTGGCATAAATCCTTTTCTTTTTAGGTGAGATACGAATTTTTTTACACCAGTCTATAACAAGTATATTATTATACATCCTTTAGAATCTTTTTAATCATGAATCTGTTTATTCATTTCAGATTCAATATCATGCTTATTTCTTAAAATATATATATATAAAATATTTAAAAATATATTATAAAAATTTATATTTATTAAGAGCATCCCAAAAACGCATATTAAATATTTCATAATATTCAAGAACTAGTTTGCCCTTTTTTCTCCTAGTATCCTCTAATCTCAACAACTTTAAGTTTTAAATAAAAAAGAAAAAAAGAAAATATTTATATATAATGTATTTTTTGCTTTCATCAGGAATATTTTTAATGCGAAGTATTGCGTAAGATTTACGATTTGTAAACTTATGCAAATATTACGGCGT